AGTCTTTACCCGCAGCATCAAACAAGTCAAGCTTCAGAAATAATGGCATGATGCCAGAAATGCTTACCCCAACTCAAAGACAACTGTTGCAAGCAAATTTTCTTCAATTTTGCTGTCCTTTTTCAACACAGCTAGATGTAAGAATACAAAATAATCTGTTTTATATGCTTCCTCACATCAGTGGGACACCCGGTTTACTTTCAATAAAATAGTTCCTAAATACACTGCACATTGTTGAAAACCTGCCCTTGCGGCTTCCTGTTTAAAAAGCAGATTGACTGTCGGTTTAACGATAACAAAGTGTGGAGTTGGGGGAACACAGCAGGCCAGGCAGGAATCAGAGCAACAGGAAAGCTGACGTTTCGGGTCAGGACTCTGTTTACTATGTTCACACGTGAGTCTTCCCACCTCAATGTATAAAATGGAAAGTAGAAAGAAAGGAGCATGGTCTGTCTGTTTGAGATTGACTCACATTTCAGCAAATGTCCAACAGGCAGAGGGGGCAAAGAATATTCTTTCTCCAGTGCAACACCCTGCCAGTGTTTTTCATGTCTATAGAATGATCATTTCCAAATTGTTCGACAAGCATTAATTTTTCAGCATCCATCCCATCCAGTAATTTTAGAAAGACAACAAAAAAAGACAGCTAATGATTTTATTCAGTTGAACACAATAAATGCAAAGAACAATGTTTTTCGAATCACCAACAATTTGTACACAGAATGTTACAGTGATTGCATTGACAGATTGTATTTCAAAAACAATATTGCATCTTGTGTCTCTGAATTTACTGTAACTGTTTTTTCTCCCCAGCCGATTCAGTTCCCATTTTAAAGGTCTGCTTCACTGCTGGTGGTGAACCTCCAGGCTTTTGGGACAATAGCCGTTTTTCAGGTGTGAATCTAATCAGGTTGTGTTTTTAGAGACTCCACTCCTGGAGCTGAAAGGCACTGAGAATTGGATCAGAACAGCGCTCTGATGGTGTTGATGACATTGCCAGGAGGAGAGTCTCCAAGAACTTCTCTACAATGAGTGCTTAGCTTGCCCTGTGATTATAGAACGTCAACCGTTATCCCCAGTTGTTCACCAAAGGCCACCTATCAGAGTGACAACTTGGTTGAACCATCCCTCCCTAGCCCAAGGGAGCGTATCAGGGTAGAGCGTCCCTAAACTTCCTCCACTTCCCTTCTTCCCCGTCCCAACCCCACCATTCTTGTCCCATTTAGGCAGCTGAAGTTTGCATACCGCTCAGTAACAATTAGGGAAGTACCACGGATTTGGCTGAGCTGATTGATCAATTATACCAACAACTTTTATTCTCTTGGGATCCCAGATACAATCCACCTCCAGGTCACTTGGTACCATGCCACAGTTTGGAGGACACCAGGCAGTATCATAACCATGATCATGCCATGTCTTCTGGAGTGGGTGCCCTTGACAATTTATCGTTTTGACCTTACCCACATTAACTCTTAATTTAAGCACAACCTTCTGACTCTCAGGCGTATTCAATGGATATCTGCAGGCTTTCCGAATATCCCGACTGACATAGACTCCACGGCCCAGCATGCCATCAGGGGATTGTTTGAAACCATACTTCAGAATGGTATCTACATGGTTGACATGGGTGCCATGGTACATCACATAGACCTTGCCGTTCTTTGGTCTATTGCAACATTTAAAGCATGATTCAACGAAATGACGTGCATCCTCTTCATCCCACTTACTTTCATGAGCACATGCCATGCTAACCGGTGAATTTATAAACTTGATCTTGAACTAAAGAATTTTTTAAAAATGAAGAAGAAGACAATTTAATTCTGTGCTGAGTCCCTCGTGTTGTTATTGCTCATTAGCAAACTTTATTAATGGCACTTACACTGAAAAAGGCACTTCCGTTGAGTAAAGATTTTGGTCCCAACACGATGCAACATTTAAAAGCTGGTCTCTGCTGTTGAGCTCCTACTATTATCCCCTTTCTGAAAAGGTGCCAGGGTCTCTCACTTGATGAAAAGCTCTCTCTCCTGTGGAGATCAGGTAAAGAGAAGATTTGGTTTGACTCTGATGCCTGAGGAGTGAAAAAACTCCATGTTACACTCAATCCAAGGCTCACACAGAACGATCCTCACGGGATGACATGGCAATGTGCCCACACCCCAAAAATGGACACAAACATAAATGATGGTATCAACTTTGAGAAGTTGTTCGTGGCATTGTAACAAATCCTCAATCATCAACAGCACGACTCAGCAGCTCTTTTGCAGAACTGTTTGAATTTGCACTTTGTGATTTCTTTTCAAAAACAAATTCAGAATTTTAAGAGCTTTGTGTCAGCTGCAGATTCTTTGATAGTACTCTTGCCTCGAGTCTAAACGTCTGGGATTCAATTCCTACTTTGCGACTTGCGCACAAAAATCTCGGCCAACAGTCATCAGAAGTTAAACAGAGGCCTAATTTATCTGAAAACAAAAAGTGCTGGAGATCACAGCAGGTCCAGTAACATCCATGGAGAGAAAGCAAGCTCATGTTCAGAGCTGTGATAAAGAGTCATCTAGGCTAGAAACGTTAGCTTGCTTCCTCTCCATGGATGCTGGCTGACCTGCTGTGATCTCCAGCAATTTTGGCTTTCTGCACAGATTCCACCAACTGCAGTAATTTGCTCCTGCTTTATTTATCTGCTTGGCTGGATGTAAAAGATCAAAGAACAGCAGGGTAGTTCTGCCCAGTGTCTTGACTAACACTTAACTTTCAATCACAAATGTGGATTACTTTATCATTGTCATATTACGGACAATGAGAATTTGCTGTGCGTAAGTTGGCTGCACATTTCCTCCTCTAAAACATTGGCTGTAAACTTCCTTGAGATGCCCTATGCTGTGCAAAATGGTGCATTGATGTTTCTATTTTGCTTTTTTTAATTGTGTCTAGCAGTCTCAGTTGTCTTATCTTTATAAAAATATGTTTGAATCTCTGGGATAGTAGGAACTGCAGATGCTGGAGAATCTGAGATAACAAGGTGTAGAGCTGGATGAACACAGCAGGCCAAGCAGCATCAGAGGGGCAGGAAGGCTGACGTTTCGGGTCTAGACCTTCTTCACTCTGGTCTGATTTGATAGTATTGAAGGTGATATTTCCCATGCTATTGGACATTTGTTTGCACAATGCTCCATGACTCACAATTCTGAAACATCACAATTAAGAATCACGATTTGCAGTGAAAAATATTTATTCTTCTTTGTTAGACTTCATTCCTGTCCCTTGTTAGAATTCATGGGCACAATGCCCCAAATTTTACATAACACTCTCGATGTCATTTCAACAGAGTGAAATCGTTTTCCAGGGAACATGTTGGGAAAGATTGAGTTGTCCTTACAATATTGTCCACGTACAACATCCAATTTTAAATGTGGTCACATCAATCAGAAAATATAAGGTGGAAAGCATTTCTCAATGAACTGGGCACTCTCTAAAACTAACTGACAAGCTGTTATTCTCTCATTACAAGCTGCACAAAGCTCAAAGTCAACATTGCAAAGACGAATTGAATAAACAGAAATAGTCATTGCTGGGGAAACTCAGAGATTAAACACACCGACTAACTATCAGTTTATTGTTCTTCACACTTACATTCCACTGGTCTCCGGGAACTGATCTCAGTTCAGCCATTTCCTTCCTGATAGAGGAGCACTGTATTAATTTCACCTCTGAAATTAAATTTGGAATCTTGCACTCTGCTGAGCAATTTGTTGTTGATTTGTAATTGTCCATTTCTCTTGCTTCTCATGGCCAAGTTCACCAATTCTCAGAAATCGTGTTAAACTGTCTCATGCACTTGAAGATTCCAATTCTCTCACACAAAGATCATTAAAGTTTCTTAATTGGCTCAATCCCAAAGGGGCAGTATTAGTTTTTGTTGTTCTCCTTTCGTTACCACTAAGTTTACAAAATATCACACACTGCTGCAGATATACTGCGTTGCACAATTCAATAACACGATTGTACACTGACCATATTAAAGGCACTAGAAGAGCCGATTCGACCTATTTCTTCTCATGCTGTCTCTTTAAAACATTTATTCAGTAAATCCCATTCCCCTGCTTTTCCCGCCATTCTGCTTGCTTTACAAAATATTTTCCTATTTTCATTTTGTAAAGTTGTTGAATCGAGTTCCACATCCCTTCTGCCAGTACATTCCAGATTTTAACAAATTGCTGAGTAGAGACAGGTCTCCTCATCTCCTTTCCAATACTTTTACAACTTAAACATTAACTGAACAGTCTGAAGTTTTTGGTACTTACCTCTTTCCTCAGTCGGTTATTCTGCCGAGAGACAAGATCTGGATTTTATAGGCTAATTATGAAAGTTTCGGTTTCCCTTTCTCCGAAAGAATGCAACGTTATTTCAAATAACCTGAATTTAAATACGAGGTTTGATCTATATTAAGACGCTCAAGTTAAACCCAACGCCCTGAACATTTTAATGTTTGTAATGGAGTCCCCCCTTACTCCCTCAGGAATCATTCAGATAAGTCAGATTTGATAGCCTTCACTGACTTTCAGATATGAGACATTGATATGATTTTCATTGATCAAGATTAGTTGTTCATTCCTTGAACAAGATAGCTGGGATCAATTAAAAATCAGAGATTGAGATTAAAAAAGGATGATAGCAACAGTGATTAAACAAAAAGCAAGGGACTGCAGATGCTGGAAATCAGAAACAAAAATAAAAACTGCTGGAAAAGCTTTGCAGGTCGAGTGACATCTGTGAAGAGAGAAGCAGAGCTGACATTTCAGGTCCAGTGATCCTTCTACAGGATGTTCTAAAGAAGGGTCACCTGACCCATAATGGTAACTCTGTTTTCCCCCCACAGATGCTGCCAGACCTGCTGAGTATTTGTGGGAATTTCTGTTTTTGTATCACAATAGTGACATCCAATCTTTCAGCAGAGACTGTCCAAAGCACATTGGAGTAATGTAATGAGGATCTAGAACATGACTAATATTCCACATGCACAGTTGTCTCGAAGGGGAGAAAATTAAACTTGTATCTCTCGTAGTTATTGGTAAAGATGGTCGCAGCCCATTCTCAGTCTGTCTGAGGTCTTGCGCACACATAAGGTTTGGGGTCCAGAGCCAATCTTGTTAAAGACAGATTCTACAACCACTGATAAGTCTGCTCCATGAGAACTGAGTGACCATTCATCCAGACATTTGTTTTAATTTGTTCTGATTTGATGTTGCTAAGCAATTTAATAGCTCCAACCCACATGCAGGTGGACTTTCCAGGGTGTACAATCTCCTGGATACCGGCCTACCAGTTTTCTTACTCAAGTCAGGCCTCACAGTACTCCTTTGCTTTCTTGAGCCCACACACCGGGAGCAACTACAATGCCTTGCTGACCCAGATCCTGAAGAACGTTTTAGCCATTTGGCAAAGGCTTGGTTTTCTTTTGAGATTTTGCTGTGGGCTGACCTAGGGTCCCTCTGCTCAGGATATGACCTGCCAGAGAGTCTGTGATTGTCTTCACTCAACTAATCTTCCACAATCACAGTCAGACAGGTGACAGTGTCCACTTACATTGGGATGCCCTGTAGCTCCCACACTCCACTTGCCACATTTTCTAATGACAAGGCCTATTGTGGTACCTGTTTGAAGGCTAGTTGGCCTTAAGGTAGTAGGCACTTCTTTCCAAACACTGGGCCTAGTCTTTACCCGCAGCATCAAACAAGTCAAGCTTCAGAAATAATGGCATGATGCCAGAAATGCTTACCCCAACTCAAAGACAACTGTTGCAAGCAAATTTTCTTCAATTTTGCTGTCCTTTTTCAACACAGCTAGATGTAAGAATACAAAATAATCTGTTTTATATGCTTCCTCACATCAGTGGGACACCCGGTTTACTTTCAATAAAATAGTTCCTAAATAC